GCCCGCCCTGAGGACAGGCGGTTCCTGGTCGGTCGTGTGGGCCTGAGACGCTGGCAAGGAGGCTCCGTGTCTGTGTGTCCTGACGCGGCCTCCCTCTCGCTCCCAGTCCCTGATCATGGTGTTCGCCCACCTGGTGCACACCCAGCTGGAGCCCCTCCTGGAGTTCCTGTGCAGCCTGCCCGGGCCCACCGGCAAGCCCGCCCTGGAGTTCGTGATGGCCGAGTGGACGAGCCGGCAGCACCTGTTCTACGGCCAGTACGAGGGCAAAGTCAGGTGGGCCTCTCCTGGCGCTGCCCCTGGTCTCCGCGTCTGCTCCGCCCCGCCTGTCCCTGACGTTCCGATGCCGGCGTCAACGTTGGCCACAGTGGGTGGGGCTTCCTCCGTGGCCAGCGGCCCTGGGGGCTCGCCCACCCGAGCTCTGCTTTCACGTCAGAGTCTCGGACGTGGAGCTCGTCTCCGTGGGTGGCCTCGGGCGGTGGCTGAGGCGTCCCGCGTGCCCTGCAGCTCCGTGGCCCTGTGCAAGCTGCTCCAGCACGGCATCAACACGGACGACAAGCGGCTGCAGGATATCCGCGTGAAGGGCGAGGAGATCTACAGCGTGGACGAGGGCGTCCGCACCCGCGCCAAGGCTGCCAAGAGTGGGTGACGCGGGGAGACGGGAGGCAGGGGGCACTGCGGGTGGCGGCTGCTGAGGAGCAGTGGGTCCGCACAGTGGCCTCCCTCCCTCCGCTGAGATGGCAGGCGCTGTCTCGGCACCAGGGGCCCTGCTTCCAGCTCCTGGGCTTCGGGGCCAAGTCCAGTCTTGGTTATCGGCCAGCTTCGGCCTCTGACCCCCGTGCCTTGTAGGCAGTGAGTGTGCCTGACCTGCAGGGTGCTCGGCTCCAGGCCCCTACCTGGTGCCCCAGCTTTATTGGCGAAACCTGCCTCCTTTCATTCCCGAACTCTGACCTGTGGCGGCACCGGGCAGATGAGGGGGTGTCACCGGGTGGGGGCTGCTGGAGCGCCTGGGTGCGGTCTGGGGCGGAGCCGGCGGGTGGACTGCTGAGCATCCCTGCAGGACGGCGTGGCCGGGAGCCGAGTCTGAATCGAAGCCTCTTCTTTCCTCCAGACCCCGAGCGCTGGACAAACATTCCTTTGCTGGTCAAGATCCTGAAGCTGATCATCAACGAGCTGTCCAACGTCATGGAGGCCAACGCTGCCCGCCAGGCCGCCCCCGCGGAGTGGGGCCAAGGTGCTCTGCCCGCCTCCCAGGGACCCTGCATCCGCCCGCCTGCGGTGGCTCTCCCAGAGCATCCCAGCCTCAGTCATCGTCGTACCCCGCCTCCCCCCCGGACACCCGCCCTTCCTTCAAGCTTCCTGGGGATTTGCCACCCGGTTTGCCCATGGGAGGTGCAGGCCGCAGTCACAGACGGACCCATTGCACCTGCTCACGTTGGGGTGGAACGTGTGTGTGGCTGCAGCTGCTTTTCCTCCCCAAGCAGACGACTCCAATGACATGTGGGAGGACGAGGAGGAGGACCAGGAGGACGAGGAGGAGGGCGGGGGCTTAGCGGGCCAGCTCCTGTCTGACATCCTCGCGTGTGTCTGACAGAGGAGGACTACTACGAGGACGACGAGGAGGACGACCCCGACGCCTTGAAGGACCCCCTCTACCAGGTGGACCTGCAGGTGAGGGCACAGGAGCCAGGCTCGCCCGCCTGTTCATCCTGCGGCCTTGGGCCGAGTTCCTGTCTTGCTGGGGGCGGGGGCATGGGGTTCCACTTCGGAGGCTGCGGTGAAGGTCCGGGGAGAGGGTGCTTCCCAGTTGGACCCAAACCAGATCCGAGAGTGCGGGCGGCCACCCCTGGGTGCTGGACGCCTGGTGTGTAGCCGGCGCTGCCCTCTGCTCCCTGCAGGCGTACCTCACGGACTTCCTGTGTCAGTTCGCGCAGCAGCCCTGCTATGTGGTGTTCTCGGGCCACCTCAGCGACAGCGAGAGGCGGGTGCTGCAGGCCATCGGCATCTAGGAGCC